TTTTTCTTATTGCAGCGAAATGTATTTTATTAAATAACTCTGTGAGTTTTCAACATTTTTCGTTCAAACTTGGTCAGATAGTAGAACTAGTCTAATGCTTTCATGGAAACCAATAAAAAAATTTTAGGCAAAATTAACACTCAAAGTGTTCTGTAACCTTAAATGTGCAGATACATAGTACAGTTATGTGCAGTTACATGGTATAGTTATACATGCATGTCAATCAATTGTTTAATAACCTATAATAACGAACGAAAATCTAAGTCGGGGAAGGATTATTTTGTGACGTGGTTATCGAAAGAGTGTATTGCATGTACGATTGTGTGTGCATATATATTTTATATCGTGTAGATTGTATGTGTAAACCAGGTCATCAGCGTAATTGGCTCATGCCGTGTTGATGTTCCTGAGCCATTTGTTCTCGTAACTGTTTAAGTATTGTTGGACGGCAAAAAAAAGAAATGAAAGGAAACGATAAAAATTTAATATCTATAATTTCGGAAAGCGTCGTTATTCGTTAATAACATTAAGAAAACTTATAAGTTTTCAAAAGATACATTAATATATATGACTGTATTCTTTTTTGAAATGAAATCCATGTATAACAACTATAATTATTACAACAGTATAAAGTGTTATACTCTCCAGAGAAAATGAGATATTTATTAAACAATACCAATACAAAAAATAATAAACATTGTTAAATATTGATTATTGTGCATCCTCCTTGAGCATAATCTTGTAAAACCCCAATACCAGTCGACAATTTCAAAAAGTATAAAACAAAACACAATCCGAAGATTTTTATCTTGGAACTCAAGATATGAGTAAAAACGAGACGAGAATGTGTTTGTGATATTTCGATTTTGTTTCAAAATCATCATAACACAATTAACATAACATAATTTATTCTCATCTCCAATTTGTCTTGAAGGAAAGTTGAGGGATTATCCCATAGATATCTTATATATACTGGATAGTGCATCTAATTATTCTGCAATTCAAAAATTGAAGCCGTGATTGCAGTCTCAGGTCGTTCCCATGAAATGAGAAGACTCGTATATGTTTTCTATTTCTTATAAACAGGGAACTTAAACATTAAGTTAACCCTATTCCAAATACTTTTTCAAACTATTCAAGTGATGAAAGTTATTGTTGTTTTTAAGCGTTTATTAGCAAGTGGAAACGACCAACATGGCCGCCATCTATTCAAATGGGGGTAACCGCTGGAATGTTCGTGGCTTCAATTTTACTAAAAGAGATGCGCTATCTAGTGTATATAAGATATATATATATATATATATATATATATATATATATATATATATATATATATATATATATATATATATATATATATATATATATATATGTATATATATAATATATGCAACAAGTGTACACCCTCTGCACGGCAGACAAATCATAGATAATATACAAACAGGTTATAACACTGCCACGACTCCAAGTGAAATTATTTAATAAAAAAATATATATATAGCTTTAAATTTTCGGCAGCATGCCACCGCCTTCGTCAAAAAGTAAATGAATATAGTAAATTACCCTCCTTATATACAACAATATAAGTGATTAAACTAATTAAAGCAATATAAACAAAGAAACCTATTGTTGGGAATAATCATGGCTGGTATTCAAACCCCCCAAATTAGTGAGCAAAGTACCTATCCAAAAGTTTTCACACTTACTTAAGTCCTCGTTGTTATTATCAATTAACATAAATTTCAAATTGAAATGCTCGCTCCCGTGCACATCTATAAAGTGATTAACTACACCACATGTTCTACGCTTATGCTTTATATGTGACTTGTAGTTTGCCAAACGAGGCTATTTAATTATGGGGGTTATGTTAATTGAGGTTATGTTATCGAGGTTATGTTAATTGATAATAACAACGAGGACTTAAGAAAGTGTGAAAACTTTTGGATAGGTACTTTGCTCACTAATTTGGGGGGTTTGAATACCAGCCATGATTATTCCCAACAATAGGTTTCTTTGTTTATATTGCTTTAATTAGTTTAATCACTTATATTGTTGTATATAAGGAGGGTAATTTACTATATTCATTTACTTTTTGACGAAGGCGATGGCATGCTGCCGAAAATTTAAAGCTATATATATATTTTTTTATTAAACAATTTCACTTGGAGTCGTGGCAGTGTTATAACCTGTTTGTATATTATCTATGATTTGTCTGCCGAGCAGAGGGTGTACACTTGTTGCATATATATATATATATATATGTATATATATATGTATATATATATATATATATATATATATATATATATATATATATATATATATATATATATATATATATATATATATATATATATATATATATATATATATATATATATATATATATATATATATATATATATATATATGCCTGAACGTTAGGGATAACAAAGAAACCATAGGGTAATTTTATGATCTCTGGGGGTATTATTAGTTTAGGTTGGACATTTGGTAAAAATGTATCATTAACCATTTGAACTAGATCACCATTTAATCTAACGGTCTTTGACGTCAGATTATTATTCTCCCCGGGTGTTAACAAATATTGGTGCACCGGCAGTTTTTCAAGTCCATTTGTCAATACTAACTGTATTTCATTGTGTTGTGTGTTGAGAGCGATTAAAACTAAACTCCCAGCGTCGTAACCCGACTTCTCTGATGTACAATGAGCATAGACACGGATAGTACGACCCAGCGATATACCATCAGCACTTCGAGCACACGAGATCCGACAAATTTCTTGTACAAGAACGCTGACCAGTAATCTGGGAAGGGGTCCAAAGTTTTCATTTTTATCAACGAATAAGATCCTCCATACAATGTCTGCCTTATAACGACATTCTGTTCGAGTCTTGCAGCAACACTAAGTTTATCAAGCCACGTGAATCCAGCGATAAAACTATCAGAGACACCAGGTACTCCACTTCCATATGCACTAGAGGTTTCTCCTAGCCAAGGATCAATGGAGCTCGCACCAGACTCTCTCATAATGCTTTGTACTTGTTGTATGTCTGTAATGAGGTCGTCTAAAAGATCTGGATCGTAAAACTCGGATACCTTTGCTTGGTTATTGGTGTAATATTGATGATATGTCATGGCATCTATATTTCCGTCTATGTTGTTTAGAAATTCTTTCAAATACTTCTTCCTACGTTGTGGGCTCCATGGTGACGTCATATCCGGACCGAGAAGCATTTGACCATATTCAGGATGCGCGTTCAAAAGTTTTCGAAGAATTGTAAAATCAAAAGCCAATTCTTTACCGGTTATTGTTCTGTTTATCAGGCTGTATAATTGAGTAGGCTCGTTTCCAAGCTCCCAATCACAGGTAAAGCCACGGCCAGTGATATACTTCATAAATTCTTCTGCATTGGCAGAGTTCCAGTGGTACGTTTTGGAATCTCGCAAGAGAACATTCAGTCCAAAGATTATACGCAATCCACTTTCTTTGGCAAATGTGAAAAGGTTGTCTACGTCCTTTGTTGTCATTGTGAAGTTAGTAAAAGGATGATCACGTGACATTTTTTGCAAGTCCGTGCGTTTATCGTGCGACGGATTCTTACGATACGTTTCATCCGGATTAAACAACAAGAAGTCTTCGTCTGTTCCGCCAATTCGTAGGTAAGCTGGCGCCAGACCTTTCGCAAGGTTTTGTAGCTTTTCTGAACTGAAGTTAAAATGGTTCCAATGAAATCTGATCAGACTCGAATCCAGGGCGATTGAAAGAAATTTCTGGTTAGTTTTGTGGATACATTGCTTCATGTTGATGTGGACTTCGTAATTATCATTAAATGCGTCGATGGAAGCAAATAGATAGGACGCCAAAGCAAGTAATACGTGGAAAACAAAAGCACTGTCCATTCTAGAGTCGCGATCTTTCTCAGCGGCCAGTTTATACCTGTAAACCAAATGTAAATATTTTTGTTCATACCTGTAAACCCCATTAGCCAACTATCTTGCTTTATTCCATTTACATATCATAATACTGGATACCTGGTGAAGTATATTGATGCAGTCCTATAGGACTGGATCAAAATTAATTCGCCTTACTTTAAGCATGGATAATAAAATAAATGGATAGGACTCTCGCTGACGTAAGCAAAAACAACCTGTGACGTCACGCGTATTGCAAAGTTCTCTGCATTTTTGTTGTTTCGCTATATTTTCCGCCTTAAAAGAGCAATATTGAAGCATAAACCGGTCTAATTGTTTTAAAAACATGCCTAAGCCACGACAAAGTATTCAAGGTAAATGTTTTTCGTCTTTGTTTTGTATTTTTTTACATTTGTAGCTACGAAATTGGCGTCCCCAATTTTAACGAAATTTGGGATGCATTTTTCACTGTTTAGTGCTTGAAATATTTGCTAAAATTGACTGGGAATACTTAGAGATTTCATCGTAGAATGGCGTACTTATATTAATTTGCTCTTTGAATTAGCTGTATTATTGCTAAACATGCCGTTTTTGAGAATTTGGTTTACAATTAGGTTTCAACATCCAATCACGCCATCAGCCCATTGAAAACATTAGGTCACGTCAGCTAGTTTCCTATCCATTTATTTTATTATCCATGCTTTAAGTAATGATTTATTCGTATGAGATATAATTTCAAACCCTCCAATGGACCTTTCCCCTTATAACTAAAATTTTGATCTAGACAAAAATTTCATCACAGCTTTAAAGAGCATCACAAAATTAGTAATATTCCAAAGTTTCGTTGCGAAATGTTATAAAATGCGGATAATATAGCCTTGCGAAGTTTGCCGTTTTTCAGTCATTTTGTATTACGCACGGGAAATTGACAGCCCAATCGGGTGTTGGGGCATCAATTTCCCGTTTGTAATACAAAATGACTGAAAATTGCAAATTTCGCAGGGCTATATTATCCGCATTTTACAACATTTCGCAACGAAACTTCGGAATATTACTAATTTTGTGATGCTCTTTCAAGCTGTGATGTCTTAGATAGACTTGTCTAGATCAAAATTTTAGTTTTTAGGGGAAAGGTCTATTCGGACTGGATATTACATTTCAAGTCCTTGCATTTTGGTCACTTGATCAAATTGCGCGGACGTGGTCGGATTTGAAATATTACATCATAAGTATTCTCTGGTTCTAATCACTCCGCGTATTTTCAGTTCTAAAATGTTGTATTTCGGCTGATGAGAAAGATTGTGACTCAATCTTTACCACCGTTAAGACCATATGGAAACCAGGTTTGTTTGGGTTATTATATTTTTAACAATACAATAAGTGATAATACGGATTCTACGCAATGATTTATAGAACATGCTTAGGGGCTGATTACATGGAGAGTTTTCAGCACGGGCTGAAACTCAGCCCGGTTAAACGAGCTGAAATTGCATCACGATAAGGATTACATGAGCAGTTCAACCCGGGCTGTGTTTAGTCAGAGCTATATTTATCATCAACCCGGGCTGAAATGTCAGCCAGGGCTGAAATAATCCGAGTGTCAAGAAATAGGACAATAAGCGCGTGTCACGCTTCTTTGAAGCAAGAAAGAGTGTATTGTGTGTAGCAGTACTGTGTACGATTGTGTGTGCATATATATTTTATATCGTGTAGATTGTATGTGTAAACCAGGTCATCAACGTAATTGGCTCATGCCGTGTTGATGTCCCTGAGCCATTTGTTCTTGTAACTATTTAAGTATTGTTGGACGGCAAAAAAAAAAGAAAATGAAAGGAGCCGATAAAAATTTAATATATATAATTTCGGAAAGCGTCGTTAATAACATTAAGAAAACTTATAAGTTTTCAAAAGATACATTAATATATATGAAATCCATGTATAACAACTATAACAACAGTATATATAGTGTTACTCTCCAGAGAAAATGAGATATTTATTAAACAATACCAATACAAAAAAAAATAAACATTGTTAAATATTGTGCATCCTCATTGAGCATAATCTTGTAAAATTCCAATACCAGTCGACAATTTCAAAAAGTATAAAGCAAAACACAATCCGAAGATTATTATCTTGGAACTCAAGATATAAGTAAGCAAGAATGTGTTTGTGATATTTCGATTTTGTTTCAAAATCATCTTAACATAATTAACATAACATAATTTATTCTCATGTCCAATTTGTCTTGAAGGAAAGTTGAGGGGTTATCCCTATTGAACAGCTTCCAATTTCTAATGATGATTTTGAAATAAAATCGAAATATCACAAACTTGTATTTCAAGAAGTGTTTTGTCTTATAATCTTGAGTGCCAAAAAATCTTTAAAGTGGAAGTCAAGTTCGTAATGTAAACAAACGGTTTGTTTACATTTTGAACTGCTGTATTTTTCAAAATATGATGTACTGTCTGAATATGTAACACCATTTTGGTTCGCTATGCTTCTACATGAATATGAAATAGAGTTTATGTTCAGAAAAATTCGAAACATTCGAAATTTGGGCAATGTTCACATTAGAGGTCCTCACATTGTTATGAGCAGAACCGATGCGCAGAACGGACTTGACTTCCACTTTAAACAAACGGTCTACCAATTTTTGAAATCGTGTAGCTAATTCTTCTTCTTCATTCTTAATTGTTAATATAAAGTAATTCAACTTTTGGTGTGATTCTCTATATATTTCAATAAATCCAAAATCCAAATTTGTACCATATCGAATACAAACGTTCACTTCACGTTTTCTTAAACTTTCGCGAATTTTTCCAAAGTCATTTTTTCGCAAGACGTTTGGCATGCTTCCGCCTGAACGTTAGGGATAACAAAGAAACCATAGGAGACTGCGGGTAATTTTATGATCTCTGGGGGTATTATTAGTTTAGGTTGAACATTTGGTAAAAATGTATCATCAACCATTTGCAGTAGATCACCATTCAATCTAACGGTCTGTGACGTCAGATTATTATTGTCCCCGGGTGTTAACAAATATTGGTGCACCGGCAGTTTTTCAAGTCCATTTGTCAATACTAACTGTATTTCATTGTGTTGTGTGTTGAGAGCGATTAAAACTAGACTCCCAGCGTCGTAACCCGACTTCTCGGATGTACAATGAGCATAGACACGAGTAGTACGACCCAGCGATATACCATCATGCACTTCGAGCACACGAGATCCGACCAATTTCTTGTACAAGAACGCTGACCAGTAATCTGGGAAGGGGTCCAACGTTTTCAGGTTTATCAACGAATACGATCCTCCATAAAATGTCTGTCTTA